ACACGCGAACCGAACCGAGACAGTCGAACCGAACGGTTCTGACGTTTTTCATAAACCGTTCCATCCCTAATATAAACTAACCATAAAGTCGTAGGGAAGCGGCTGTTCCAAGCGTTGCATTTTCGGATTCTCCCGAGTGCTACGCAAATTTACACGAGTGAATAAAGTGAATGTGATTGGTCGTCAAGTGGGTGGAACTGTTGTGGCGGAAGGTTTGCCAGTTAGTTTGGTTGTGGCCGGTTTGTCGGAAACATGTTGCTAACCAGTTAGCAACTTGATGCTACTGGTCCCTATGGGAAATGACATTGTGACCAATTAGCACTTAGCAACGACACTGTCAAGGAACGCTAAGGACAGCGGAAACATGCAAGAGGAGGAGAGTTTAGTGTCGGAGGTCGTGGATGAGTCTCCTCAGTCATACATTTTCTATTTAGAGGAGGAAAGTGGGGACGACGATGTAGTGGAAGAGGACGCCAGGGCGGCAGAAGCTTGGTTTGGTGTAGAAGGTTTCCAGCCGTACATGTTTGAGCCCTTGCCTCGAAACGCTGCCAGTTCTGTTAGCTCTACGCCTGCTGAAGACACAGACGTCCATCCCCGTGAACACTGGGACGCAACTCAATGGGAAAGGAAAGGATTCTGATCTCTTATTTCAACAGTTGCGTATATTAGCTGCAACATATGAATCAAGATGCTATGACTGAAAAAATTTGATTGACAGACGACCAAATTTGGGTGTACAAGCTGACGTATAACTAACTGGCCTGCATAAAGAAACCCCACAGATTTTAAGGCAGGATTTTTTTTTTAAATAGAAACCTTTGGGACAATATTGTCTGATAAAGAGTACATTTATATACATGTTTAAGCCAGAATGATTTGACATTTAAATATGACTTCCCTACATCTTTAAACCAAAATAAAAGAAAGTTTTTTCGTGGACAAATATGAAGTCAGAATTCTGCCAAAAGTCAAGATGCTTAAAAATACTAATTTTTTTTTTGTTTGTTTTTTTTTAAAACACACATTAACTACCTTTAGGCACATTTTGAACATTTTATGCAGATTCAATATCATGATGCTATAAATACATCACAAGCCTCAGCTAATTTACTCAGACTAAACAGTAACTGTT